GACAAACACAAAAAACATACGCAAAGAGGTGAAACGATGAAGTCGGACATTGCAGATCATGTGTGGTCCAAGTACCACAACATAAAATGGTCGGAAGCCCGGGTTATCCACAAAGAACCCCATTGGAAAATGCGCAGATTTAAAGAGACCGTATGCATTTCTAAACTCTTTTAGTTTTAATTGCCTGTAATAATTTGAGACTTGTTTAATTAATTTTTAATTATTAGTATCTATACAATGATCTAATGATCTTTATCAACAATATGTTGAGCAACGCAAGATTTATCCGGTCCACCATATCTTATCTGAGCCATATGTTCTTTAAATCTAGTTAATATTGATCTTCTAGTTACAATCTTTACATGAAGTTTTATAAATAACCGATCTTTCCTGAAAGGAGGTGTTTTATCTTCAGGATTAAGTACCTAATAATTGTTGTAATTTATTATTAGCACTATACACAAGTTTATTAAACCACGGGATAACATAACTCTCTATCAAACGGTATTGAAATATATTCTTTTGGCGTATGTTTCTCCACACTTGAAAAGTCGAATTTGCAGAAATCGCAAACTTATACCTACGTTTTCCGATTATTTTATCAACTAATGAAGGAGAATATCCTTTACACTCAGCTACATTCCTAATGTAATTTCTTTCTCTTTCATATCTTTTACTGGTTAAGTGGAAAACTAAGTAATCTATGAACTAAGAAATTTAAACTAGCCATCTTATGTTCAACACTATAATAAGACTCATTAGGAATATATCTGCATGTAGTGGTATTTTTTTCTATAGATATCAAATTCCAAACAATGATTAGTATTTCTAATAATTAGTCCGAGAGATCAGGTAGTAATTGTTAATTTCAAGTTTGACCTCACGTAATGTCATTTTAGAATGAACTGTATATTAAAAACTCAGTGTTCTTGAATAAGTTGTATTTAGATATGTTAGGTTAGGTTATGTTAGGTCAATCTTCTTCAGGTCAGTTAGGTTATGTTAGGTCAGTTCTTTGTGTTTTTTTGCTTCTGACAACTGGAGGAGATATACCTCCTGAAACGTTAAGCATTGTGTTTGTTGGTTAGGCAAATTTGTTTTACTACTAAAATACCACTGATAAACTGGTTTCTGTTTAGATTCAATGCAGGGGTGTTTACAAGAAATACCTGTTTTTATTTTCAGATTTCAGAATTCTTTTCAATAAATGTTTACTTGCTTTGAGCTATTACAATGGCAGTTATTAATTAATCATTAAACAATTCACCTTTACCCCTATCTTGCATATCAAAAAAACGGCACCAATTTGGTATAGAAATGGCACATAACTTTATAATTTTTTTATAACTTTTCTGTGACATTTATTTGCAAGGCAAAAAAAAACGAAAAAAGTAGTTGTTCTTTTATCACACAAAACTAGTCCTTCCTTAAAGCTTGACCATAAAATCTTCTATAGAAACTTTTCTCAGTGAGTCGTCCATTTTCCCTTGCAAAACTACCAGATGAAAAATTTATACTATCCCAAGGAAAATAAGGAAAATCCAACTTACATTCTAGAGTAAATTGCCCGCTAGCCGAGACGGAAAGCTTATGTGGTTTTTCCAACGAGGGAAAAGAGAAGTGGATATAAGTTTTAACTATTTACAAGAAGGATTTATAGTACTATGCTCTCTGATACAGTGCTACGTTATTTAACTTTTTCTCTGTAATATTTGATCTTGAGGAAATTAAATCCTGACACTGCTAATATAAGTTTTCTTGTGGTTCGTAGGTAGTTATCTTCTCATGTTTTAAAATTACGTTTACTTAGCATTAGCATTACTAGGATATCCTATTTTGAATTGTGTTTTTAAGATATTGTGAATGATCGTAAACTAAAAAGTATAAAATGTAATTGAAACCACTAATTTATTCCACTAATTGCGAGGTTCAGAATGAAGCTTAAATAGGTAAAATAAAAGACATTCTTCAACACATTTTTTCCCTAATACAGAGTATTTTCAATTTGGCAGCATGTTTAAACATGTTGCTACATTTATCTATAGTAAAGCTTCATTCAGAACTTCGCAATTACTGGAATAAATTAGTGGTTTCAGTTACACTTTATACCTTTTAGTTTACAATCATTCACAATGTCTAAAAAACACAACTAAAATTAATAGAATATCATAGCAACAGATTGGGTTAGTCAATTGTATCCATAGAGAAAACCTAATATTTAGCTTATAAAACAATCAACTTTTGATTTCTAACCACGGAAGATAATCAAAGGCCAAAATGACTTTTCTCGCAAATTTTCAAGTATAATTAGTGGAGAAGTAAAAAGTTCGTCAACTTCTACTAATTGAAAATGTCTACCACTAATTCTGACGTTCTGAAAGCTTACATTGAAATTAAAGGAACAAACTTCTATGCTAATTGAAACCACTAATTTATTCCATTAATTGCGAGGTTCTGAATGAAGCTTAATGGACCAGATATAATTAAGAGCAGTAGCTGTAATCAGTAAATTATGATCAAATCTATTGTCCACAAACGCGTATTGGTTAGTTTGGCAGGATATTTTCTAATATCTATTAATTACTACACAAAAGTGTTCCTTAAGCCTATATTCCTAAAACATAAAAAATTCTTATGGAAGTAAAAAATTTAATTTCATCCTTCTGTAACATGAATAACATAATGCACCCCTTTTGATCTTTAATTAATGCAGAGCAGCCATTCTCTTTTAAAGATCTCCAGTAGAACTAACAAGGCTCCTTTTGAAGTACAAAAAAGAAGCCCGCCCATTAAATCTGATAGAAAAACTTTTCTCGGCACGGAGTCCTTTTTACTCTGCGAAACTACCGAATGAAAAATTTATAGTATCCTAAGGAAAATCCAGCGTACACTCTGCCGTAAATTGCCGCCGTCCGGGATGGAAAGCGTGTGCAGCTTTCCCGGAGAGGGAAAAAGAAAAGCCGAGTATCTGTTTTAACTATTTATAAGAGGGATTTATAGCGCAGTTTCTTCGAAAAAAGAAAAACTTTCAAATTGGACGAGGTCTCGGCTTTTCGAATCATGCTTTTTGAGAAAGACGGATAAATTTAACGCGGTTAAACTTTTCTGCTGCAATATTTGATGTTCTGATTGAATGCGGGCTACAGTAGAAATATATATGGTTCTGGTTTTTCATTATCTATATAATCAGCAGTTAATATTATTAAATTTATTGAAGTGAAACTTTTTTACGCGCGTTGGGAGTAAGAATTCAAGGTTGTGACACTCGGCCTTGAATGACGGCCGCGAGACGGCCGTGAGGCACGAGCCATGTGCGAGCTAGCGAAAGAATAAGTGATAGCGGCAGTGTTGCCACAGCTACCCCATTCGGGATAGATCTACCCCTTTATAAAACAATTTAACCCCGCTATCTCCTGATAATCTACCCCGATGAAAAATAAGCTTGTGGCAACACTGGGGTGCAACACTGATCTGTGCTATACGCGGCTAAGAAAATCACTATAATACACTTGATATTGTATCAACCTTGTGTACTAGGAAGTAAATTTTCATGCATATTTTCATCCATAGGTTTGTAGCTCCTGAATAACGGTCTAGGTAAAGCATCTAGCTCATTTGCCAGCTCAGAATGAATTAGAATTTAGAGTTAGTAACTCGCATTTTCATTGGAGGACACTGTCATATTTATTTCAAATCAATAGTCAACGAGAATAGTCGTATAATTTAATAAAATTACTGTAAATCACTATAAATAATGAATTGTTTGTAATTGAACTGTAATTTCTGTATTATTAATCCGGTAAATGATGGAGATAAACAATTGTGATTGATTAAAATTTTATTGATATTGAGATGAAACATTCTGAGAATTCGAATAATGAAATGAATAATGACAAGACAACTGACATCTGTCTAAAAGACAGCGATTTAGAGAGACAATTTGATCATGTAAAATTGAGAGTGACAATTTTGATTATGCAAAAGAAATATATATTCTATGAGTTTGCCTAACAATTAACATTAATTTAAAAATAAATCCCCAACATGAATAATGAACAAAATATTTAAACAAAAACAGACCACAGACCACACAAAACAAATTGTTGGTTACTAGCAGTTAGTAGTAGTCAGAGATATAGATCTACTAGTATTTTGGTTTAATGGTCACAGCTGCCAGAGACTATCGGACCGAGTGATAGAATTATCGTTTTTTTTTAATAAAAATTAAAAAACATTATAGAATTATAAAGCTAGAATATACGATTTTATATTAACTCTATTTTATTTAAGTTTATAAAAAAACATTCATAAAAAATATATATCCTTCAAATCCTTCAGTTTGATAGCTGTTAGTAAGAAGTTTCACATCAAATATGAGCACATAGTGCACACACAGTTTATTTTATTATAATCACAACCTATTCATATCCAGCCTGCCGACTTACGATCATTTTCATGGAGATCTGCGTGCCTACCCAGTATATTTCCTCAACTCTACTGAAGTTTCGTTTAAAAAAAAAAGAAAAACAAAAAAGAAAGTCAAAAAGAAGTCGAACAAAAAAGAAAATCACAATTTTTTTTCTAAGTAATAATCAAAACTGTGACGATGAATATATATTCAAATTATCCTATCCTATTAAAGTTTCTCATACTTGGAAAGAATTTTTTTGAGGTGTCTACCAACTTTTTTTTCAGAGTAGGTATAAAATGAAAAAAATATTATTGCCCATATACCCATTGCTATTGCCTAGAATAGCAATGGGAAAGTATTAATATGTATTAATTCAGTCAATAAATTAAAGTTTAGAAAATTGTTTATTTCGATGTCCAATCTTTAATTTCCCAGTACAAGTTTAAATTTTGTGTCTAGAAAATTCATTACCTACGTTCCTGAATTCATTACCTACCTACATTGCTGAAATAATAAAAAAGCGGGACTTGTTAAATAAATCCTTAATCCTGAAAAAGGGTCACCTAGACTAATAAATATTTCATTCCAGTTCCAGAAAAAGCGGAGGATAGTGGGCAGGGTCCAGTGTTACAGCATAAAAGAGAAATGTCCTGTCCCGACCTGTGACGAGCCAGTATTGATGCCCGGCCGTTGTTGCAAGACCTGTCCAGGGGATGTCGGTGAGTTTAATTTATTTTTTATTTGTTTTTCTATTCCTGGAAGCTTTATTAAAGGTGGGCAATTTGTAATTCTATCCCAATATAACGGGCGTTTCTCAAAAGTGGTTAACCCCTATATCTTTTTTATTTTTTAGATAAATAAGAGATTTGGTGTGTTTATGACATAAATCAGGATTGATTGGGGTGTTTAATTAGTTTAGTTTTTCTTACTTCTTACAGTGCCATACTCTATACAGAGCGTCGGCTACCTCTCGCATGTACTTGTGATGTGTCATCAGTGTTACACAGGACCTACAGTTTGTCGCCGAATCCGAACGGCACTAGGTATTTGAGTGCCTGTACAAGGCACATATACTCAAGGTGGTTTGCCATTGCCTTCCTTGAGGTGGCGGCTCGCTGGTTGCTCTATTTAGATAAATCAATATTTTTATTTAAATAAATAAAGCGACCGTACTGGCTGAGGATCGAACCCAGTACCATCGCATCTTTCGCAGCGCAGATCGATACACTACTGCTTGCCTTGCCCCATGTTGCTTGCTCTACGGCCGGTCACAGTTTAGTTCACTTCCTGTTTTACCGAAAAATACTACAACTTTTAATTTTTATATTGTACCCTCAATATTTTTTTACTTTATTTGGAAGAAAATTTACATTCTGAATCTGAATAGTTGGCCTAACCTAACCTAATCTGCAAACTTTTAACATCTTCGCTTAAAAGAATTAGTATTTTAAGTTTCAATCTATATAGAGTGCCATGGCTGTGTTAACACTACCAATTTTTAACGAAGCAGCCTTTACAATTTACAATAAATGTGAACAATTAGACTCGATATGGCCTAATTGTCCACTCACGCCAGATTGACATTTAAAGTATAATTTTTTTTAGTGAAAATGTCAAAAATGGACATGCAGACTTCATTTTCTATCGAATAAAGTAAAAAAATACCAAGGGTACTATTTAAAAATCAAGAGTTGTAGTCATTTCCGGTGAAACAGAATGTAATAGAAAATGAGTGAATACGTCAATCAATCCTGATTTATGTCATATACTTACACACCAAATCTTGTTTTTTCCTCAAAAAATATAAAAAAAATTGGGGTGAGCCACTATTGAAAAACACCTGGTATACAGCAAGTAAAAGCTGGTAATACTTAAAAAGTTAAAATAGATGCATTTTGGTGCTCTGTTTCCAAAACCATCCACTATCCAATCGATATCTGCGTTCTCGAATATTTAATTCTCCGGTGGTTTATTCATTTAAAAAATACATACCATTGTAGCTCCCATAGACGAATGCCAACCGAGTTCAATTAATACTTCAAAATATAAATTATAGCTTAGATTTGATTTGAGGGAAAAAATTGATAAATAGGGAAATAAATTTAAATTGGAATATTCGGTTTCCCGCCGAAACTTGTAATTGTTTTGAATCGCGTCTGTTTCAGGGCGTTGCTAGCGATTGTTAAGAACAATCGCAAACAAGGAAAGACAGCACTTTCTCTTGTCAAAGTCAGATTCTTCATAAGTTAAAAAAATCTTTAGAAATTACTACCGCCATCATTGAAAAAATACTCAAAAATGTTTAAAGCGTTTATTTTCTGATCCCGAGCTGTGTATTAGTTGTCCTAAATATGTTTATATTCTTCTACTATTTTCAGTGTTGTGTTATTTATTAGAATGTCTTTTCTTTCCACTAGTTTGTTTTACGTTACTTTAGCTTTTGCTAAATTCATTTTGAGACCCACTTTATTGCTGGCTGTATTTACAGTTGAGGGTTGGAACCTTTGGTGTTACACAGCAAAATAAAAACACTAAATCACCACAATACACCAAAACACTTTTACTTTTACACTGGACGCGCGTTTCGCTAACCATGTTAGCATCATCAGCAGATGATTATAAACTACAAACTAGAAACCTAGAAAAATTTTTTCTAATATTGCTGTAAACAGCTTTGGGGATATAGTGTCTCCCTGTCGTACTCCTTTGCCAGTTGAGACCTCTGGGGTGTTTTATATATCATTGCTCTAGCTTTGGCTTCTTTGTATATATTGGCGAGAGTTTCTATATAAGGCCTGCCAATACCTTGTTTCGTTAGGGCTTCTATTATTGCCTTAGGATATATCGAGTCGAAAGCCTTGTCAAAATCTATACGCTTCTAAATAAATACATATCTACATTAAAAATTCTGTTAAAATGAGGACTGTTCCGACTTCTTTCTTCTAAAAAACTAATATTATTACTTAATTATTATTATAACAATCGATAAGGAACAATAGCTCGCGTGGGACAGAAACATTAAGTTATGGCGGATTATAATTCTGTAAAGCTGACAACAAACTTCTAAAAACCGCTGTTGTGGTTTCGTGCGAGTTGTTTTGCAACATTTAGGCGCCACTACGCTACTCAACGATATTAATTTAAACGTCAAGAACCTTTTTATTAAGCAATACACACGGTGAACCAATAAACAGCGGCATCGGAGCACCTATTTTACATCCCGCAAAATAAACATTCGTCGAGCCTTCTCGTGTTTATATTTCAATTATTATTTGTTTATTGTTAGATTACGTGTTGAAATATGTAGTAACACGTATTAAATAGATTGATGTACGGTCGTTAATTGATTAGAGTCATAAAAACAAGATATAAATAGGGGAAGGGAATGTGAGATGGCCTTTCTTGATAGCTCGTTTATAAATAAACATTTCTGTTGGATTTCAGCAGTTTTATTACCAACAAATTAATTTATTTTTCATTCATCGCTTTTACATAGAGGGCACTGTTAATTTATCAAGATACAATTATTTCAAATTACAACAAAACATTTATCTAATACAACTAAAATGTATTAAGATTAATGGGTGTAACGGTTACAATTACGAAAAAAATGTTAATCATATTTTAGATAAAAGTATCTTCAATCGTCTATCACGATTTAATATATTGGCACATCATAAATAAATATAATTCAGCACTCTATAGGGGATAAAATTTTGGATTAGACATTTTTATATTTTGTTGTCTATGTATTTTTGGAATTGAATTGTTCCAAACTTCTTAAACATAAAAATTTAGTTTATAATCATCTGCTGATGATGCTAACATGGTTAGCGAAACGCGCGTCCAGTGTAAAAGTAAAAGTGTTTTGGTGTATTGTGGTGATTTAGTGTTTTTATTTTGGCTGTATTTAGTTTATTAATTTTTGTTTGTAGATCTTCGGGACTATTGGTAATTTAGGACTATGTCGCCAGCGAATCTTAGATGGTTAAGATATTCCCCATCCGTTTTTAATACTTTGTTGGCCCAGTCCAGTTGACGGAAGATTTTTTCTAATATTGCTGTAAACAGCTTTGGGGATATAGTGTCTCCCTGTCGTACTCCTTTGCCAGTTGAGACCTCTGGGGTGTTTTATATATCATTGCTCTAGCTTTGGCTTCTTTGTATATATTGGCGAGAGTTTCTATATAAGGCCTGCCAATACCTTGTTTCGTTAGGGCTTCTATTATTGCCTTAGGATATATCGAGTCGAAAGCCTTGTCAAAATCTATACGCTTCTAAATAAATACATATCTACATTAAAAATTCTGTTAAAATGAGGACTGTTCCTGACTTCTTTCTTCTAAAAAACTAATATTATTACTTAATTATTATTATAACAATCGATAGAACAATAGCTCGCGTGGGACAGAAACATTAAGTTATGGCGGATTATAATTCTGTAAAGCTGACAACAAACTTCTAAAAACCGCTGTTGTGGTTTCGTGCGAGTTGTTTTGCAACATTTAGGCGCCACTACGCTACTCAACGATATTAATTTAAACGTCAAGAACCTTTTTATTAAGCAATACACACGGTGAACCAATAAACAGCGGCATCGGAGCACCTATTTTACATCCGCAAAATAAACATTCGTCGAGCCTTCTCGTGTTTATATTTCAATTATTATTTGTTTATTGTTAGATTACGTGTTGAAATGTCTGTAGTAAACACGTATTAAATAGATTGACAGGTCGTTAATTGATTAGAGTCATAAAAACAAGATATAAATAGGGGAAGGGAATGTGAGATGGCCTTTCTTGATAGCTCGTTTATAAATAAACATTTCTGTTGGATTTCAGCAGTTTTATTACCAACAAATTAATTTATTTTTCATTCATCGCTTTTTTACATAGAGGGCACTGTTAATTTATCAAGATACAATTATTTCAAATTACAACAAAACATTTATCTAATACAACTAAAAAATGTATTAAGATTAATGGGTGTAACAGTTACAATTACGAAAAAAATGTTAATCATATTTTAGATAAAAGTATCTTCAATCGTCTATCACGATTTAATATATTGGCACATCATAAATAAATATAATTCAGCACTCTATAGGGGATAAAATTTTGGATTAGACATTTTTATATTTTGTTGTCTATGTATTTTTGGAATTGAATTGTTCCAAACTTCTTAAACATAAAAATTATATATAGGTACACATTTGGAAAAAATAAAACAATAACTATTTGTATATAATAATTATTTTCTGTTTTTGCATGGTAAAGCAGTATTAGAATGTAGATTGTTTGGGAGGGGGGTTAATCACCGCGACACAGATCTATTATGTGTCCCCATTTTTTGAGTTATAACGAGTTCTAACTCTTCATACAGTCTCAGGGCTTTGACAAAAACCAGTATCTGAGACGGTTCCACAGAGGCCATTTCCGACAGCCGCACCAAGGTTTATGTCACGTCTCATGGCTGTCGTCTCGGCGCACTCAGTGATGAGGTGTTCTGGTGTTTTCTCATTTTTCCCACAGAATCTGCATTCGCCGTTGTTTTTTAGCTTCAATCTGTCATGTTAAAAACCCCATGACAATCCGAAGATTGTTCTTACTTAAATCAAGGAAAATCTTTGATTTTTGTCGGTCGTAAGTTAGTCGTTAGTAGAAGAGAAATCACTTCGAGTGTCTTAGATCGTTGGAGGATTCCCATTCCAGGTTACGGATGGAGTCTTCCAGTTCGGATTTAAGTTGGTTACCACTTGGGAAGCAGAACGGTTCTAGTCCAGTTAGTAGAGTGATCGCTTCTTTTCTAGCTAGAGATCGTTTGCTTCTTCATTGTCTTCTATCCCTTTCTGGGCCGTCACACAGAGTAGGAGGACATTATTATCTTTGCTTTGGACTTTACTATTTATTATATGGAACTTGATTATTGTGATGAGCAGTCGTCTGTGTCGGTTCTTATTTAAACAAAAAATAAAAAATAAAAAAAAATAATTGTGATGAGCAGTCGTCTGTGTCGTTTTGGAAAGATTTTTTTTCTATTCCTTGGTGAATCGGCCAAAGCAGTATTAGGTACTAAGAAAATGTATAAAAAGTAAATAAAAAAGTAACAAGAGTAATTCAGCAAATTATACAGTATCAGCTATAAATATGATTTTAAAATTGAATTTTTTTAAAACATTTACAATATTAATATAAGTTTTTCAAATATTCATTCAACATTTGTCAAAAAACAACCCATACACAAATGTAAGTATCGAGTAACCAGAACAAGACGAAATGAAAATAAAATACAGTTTTATAAGTACCTACTGCCTTTTTAATTTATGTTTAATTACATAGACGTGATATGATTGTTATTTGTTTCATTATACCTACTAGCACACTACTAGGTATTGATATAACATCAGATGATCGATATTTTGCAATGGATCTTATTTTTCCTTACGTAAAATAAAAATATAAATAGCTATTATATTTAGAACTGATAATTTACTCCATGACGCTTGATTTTTTATAACGGAATTATCTAAAACAATACTACATTTTTATCGACCTTATCTTAACTGATAACGCAACCTTATGTCCTCTAATGCACTTATGCAGTCTACACGTACGTCCTTGCAAAATATCACAATTATTTGTTTGCGTTCGCAAGACCAGTATGTACGTTTATATAATAATGAAAGCTTTGCCAAAGTAAAATATTCTGTTAAAGAATTTAAGAACTTATACATAGTTAGAAATAGCTTTATGAACGAAAAATACCTACGTATTTATATTACTTGGATCTTGATCCTGAGTAACCTGATCTTGTAAATAATCCTGTGTGTCAACAAGTACTTATCTGTATTATCTAAAATTATTTAAGTGATGCATAATTAGTTCATCAACATTTTGATCCACCCATGTCGAGATTGATTATTAGGGGAGAAACTTTGAAACTACTGAAACCATTTATTTCGCTCGCTTGCTGGTACCTTCAAAATTGCGTTTTTGAAGGCGCTGACTGCATCTTCTGGGGATTGGAACCTTTGAACGCGCAGTTCATGCTTAATTTTTGGATAAGTAAAAAAGTCGTTAGGACTTAGGTCGGGACTATGTGGAGGATGATCCAGCAATTCGATGTTTTCTTGCTTTAAAAACTCGTAAAAAATTGTTTTTCAAGTTGATGTGTGGGAACTTGCATTATCTTGGTGGAGGATTATCGTCGTTGAGGGTTGGTATTCCGAAACTCAGAAATTACTTCCGGCAAACAAATAGATATGTCGAATGAGCAGTAACAATTCTTTGATCTTGCAGAGGAATTGTTGCTGCATCACCTGCTTTTGAGACAAATATAGCCACCATCTTTTTGGAACCACTTCGAGGACGGATAACTTTTGTCGGTTTCGGTTAGGATCGAACATCTCGGAACACCCAAGCCGATTGACGTTTATTTTCGGGTTTATAAGAGCAAATCCGGGATTTATTACCACTGACAATACAGTATATATTTTTGAGTTTCCTGCGTTATACTGGTGTAAATTTTTTTGACACCAATTGACTCTAATTGTTTTCTGTTTTTTTCGTCGATAGATACGGTATCCAACGAATAATTGAGGTTGCAGCCTTTGAAATGCCCGATAATGCTTCATCGTACATCATCGACGTTTTCCTGTCGTTGTGGGTGGACCTGTTCTTGGATCGTCGCAAAGACTAATCCGTCCACGTTTAAATTCTAAATATTCGCAACTGCCAGATCGGTAAGGTATTCTTCTAAAGACAACAAGTCCATTTTTCGATTAACTCGTCAACTTCAAAACTTTGGTTTTACAACTTAAACGAAGCGGTTTAAAACTTTGACGTTAAGTTAACTAAAGACGACAGTTAATTTTAACTGTAATTAACATTTGATATATATACTGACAGGCGCCTACTATGTTTCTATTAGCAAATATAAAAGACAACATTTTCTACCTTGTCAAATATTTGAAATTTTGGAAGTGTAGGTCTGAAATTAGTCTTGATATAGCCCTTAAACTCATCACAAGGGCACTGGTCTTCCAGGTAAAAAGATCTAAGACATCTGGAAGACTCCAACTGCAATAAATAACATTTTTGAAAAATATTTTTTTAAATTACCTTCACCATTTTGTCATTAATTTTAGATCATTTATAATTTTTAGTTAAAAAATGTGTTTAAAATGTTGCATTTTAATGCAATACGCATTGTATTAAAATATGCTGTTTTTCTACTATTAATTTCTTAAATTAGACAAAAAATAAATAAAATTAAACTTTCAACGTTGTTTTACTGGCTGCCTAGCAAAATGAAATGTTATAAATTTTCAAGTAATTTATTAAATTTTTACTGGGACTGGATTCTCTAGGGATACTACAAATTAAAAACAAATATTTGTACGTTCCAAGTATATAATTTATTAAAATATTAAACTTTAAAATATATTTTTGATGTATTATAAGAAAAAATAATATTCTTAATCAGTTCCTGATATATTGCTAAACTAAAACTCTGTATCAAAATTAATGAAAAGAGATACTTATGTGTTTAAATGATTGCTTAAATAAAATAGAACAAATATAACACGTTTGCGTGTCAAGCTTTTTAGTAAATAATTAATAAAAAATATGGTAATTTAATAATTTGATTTCACTATATGGCGAATGCGCCAGGTCTTCGCCTTTGTTACTTAGATATAGTTATTTATTTTCTAGATCATTATTAAATAGATTTAACCAACAATATGGATTTTAACAGAATATACAGCTAGCCAATATATTTTGTGATATTAGTTTATTTTTATATATTATATTTTGGTCTGGTTTTAAATAAAAAAACAACAAATAACTTTTTATATGCATTTATTTAATATACTTGTCAAAGTTCACTAATATTAAGGCACATACATTTAACTAATTTAATGTTCCACTTTCTCTTACTAAAAATAACATATTATCTAACATACACATATAAATATATATTTATTTTTCTCTACACAACAATTATTGTGCGTAAAATCTTTATAAAATTTCAACCACATATTAAAAACAGGGTATATATTATTATTATTTCATTTTAAACAATGAACAAATCACAGCAAAAGTTTTTAAATTCGCAAAATAAAATCTCTTCTTCATTTAAGAATAGAATATAATGTCATATCACTATGGTTTATTGAGTTTTTTGCTTGTTCTGAATACAGAACATAATATAGCTAAGAGCTACATAACATTAATCTATTTTTATTTCTAAAAATATATGTTTTTTTTTATTAAATTCGGCATTCTTTGACTTCACGTTCGTTCAGTGGAAGTGTAGGTCTAAAATTAGTCTTGACATAGCCCTTAAACTCATCACAAGGGCACTGGTCTTCCAGACAGAAAGATCTGAGACATCTGAAAGACTCCAGCTGAAATAAAAAAATAATTTTTTTGAAAAATATTTTTTATAGGCACCTTCACCATTTTGTGATTAATTTTATATCATTTATAATTTTTAGTTGCAAAATGTGTTTAAAACGCTGTATTTTCAAACAGTAATTTAATACAACATTCATTGTATTAAAATCTACTGATTTTGTACTATAAGTTTTATAAATTAGACAAAAAAATAAAATTAAATTAAACTTTCAACGTTGTTTTACTGGTTGCCTAGCAAAATGCAACGTTATGAATTTGCAAGTAATTTATTGAATTTTGACTAAAACTGGATTGTCTAGGGATTTTACAAATTAAAAACAAATATTTGTACGTTGAAAGTGTATAATTTATTAAAATATAAAAGTTTAAAATCATTTTTTGGTGTATTATAAGGAAAATAATATTATACCTTACCTGTTCTTGAGATATTTCTAATGGGTCTTTAAAAACAATCCAAATAACACACTCTGAGCACGGCGGTGTTGTTAGAGATCCTTGGTAAGTGTAGTAGCCACTGTCTTGAGGTAGAAAAGCTCCAGGGTTTACTGGAACTAAAATTTTGGCGGTTTCACCCCTGTACTGGATTTTGTTCAGTTGGCACACGATTTTGTCCAGTTCCAAGTTTTTTCTGCCAGGCTATAAGCAAATAAAGTTATATGTAATGGTTTTGCTTTTTCTGTGTAAGTACATACTAATAATACACTGACATTCAAGAAAATAGATTAAAAACTTGGGGGGCCAAGCAATATATAAAACAATGTGACAAAAGGTAATAAATTTTAATAAATTATTTTAATAAGTGTTAATTCTTAAGTAGTTTTATACCTTTAAAAAAACTCCTAAAACGCATAGGCCATCTGGATGTTTGGCTGCTTCGTTGAATGAAGAATACTTGGAAGCATTCCAGTGGACCAGATGTAACTAAAAAATAAAATAAACATAAAATAAAAGCAATTTACTTTATTACAAATTTATTGGAGTTTTTTTCAACAACGCTTTTTAACAGGAATTATTTTATGAGGTTACTATGCTATATATTACTATGCTATTATTTTTATTATAAATCAACACAGTTTTTATCTAAATTTATGTTTTTAAGCTCTTTCTATACCCAAAGACTGTGTTAAATTAAGTATTTTTTTAATTTTTAACGTTAAAACAGAAATTCAAATTTTCTTTCAGTTTAGCCAAAATCCCTAGAAATAGAGATTTCTCTCCTTGGCTCTCTCTTAAAACTACTAAAATTTTAGATCAAAGTAAGACATATTTTGAAAGAATATAAAAATTTTACACCCGACAAATATAGTTTCCACTTGATTCAGACCTTTACTAATATATTTTTAAACGCCCTGTATACTTTATTCAATATATTGTATTTGAAAATACTTAATTTTACAAAAAAACACTATCATGAAGGATGCAAGTCAAATATTAATATGGGGTATAAATATTATACAGTCAATCTAATATGGACCTATTTCGTCATCTTGGGTCATACTGTATATATAAAATGTATAAATACCTCTCCAGCATATTTTTCACCGTTGATGGTATGTTCCGAAACCTTCCTGGTTGGTTTTACCCCAGTGACAGTGGAATTGTTCCAGAATATATCTCCTCCAATGGACCACCACTTAGTCTACAAAAACACATCTTTTTTAACAAAAAAATAATTAGAATAATTTTTTTCTTCATAATCTTACCTGATCCTTCACCATTTACGTGTACTTTCCAGCAGTACCCTGGATTGGTGACGTCAATGACGTTCTCTGGAATGTACTTCCAGGTGAGTCTCCTGTTGGTGTTGATTGTTTTTAAGTCGATGGGTACGATGTCAATTGGGCTCTGGCGCTGGCCATTGGCTTCCGGGTAGCACTGAGCCCATTTATCTGGACCTACAAAAAAAAAGAGTAATAATCAGTTAAATACTATTATTACTGAATAATTTGGATTTTTTTTTTCTAAAAATATGCCCAATGTAAATTTTTGCCGCCCAAAAATGTCCATTTTTAATTTTTCTCGAAATTTTCCGCAAGTTTAAAAAATAGTACTTTCTATGTCTGAACGTACTCTCCTATACAACCCTATACCCTGAACAAACTTGTGCAGGTCCTTGTTAGTATGGGAGTATAGTTCCTTCGATTCTAGCATTGCTTTTCCAAATAAAAAGTGTCGTTTACGATCCAGAGCCTCACAGTGACACATTATGCGCTCAGATGTTTTAGGATCTTTATCGCAAAGTTTGCAGCAAAGACTTCCATGATACATGTTGAGCTTGTTCAGGTAGCGCTTGACAGCCATATGTCCTGCCAGGAGACCTGTGTTATAATCCGTACTTTATTCCTGCAAAATATTAGCAGTTCCTTTGAGTTTTGGAATTAGGGTCCTTTGAATTTTAGATACTTAGTTACCTTGAGGCCTTACCATGCCTCTGCTTTTTGTCTGTTTTGAAGTGGACTTGCTTTTTTCCTAATCCAGAGTTTTACTGTATTACGATATTTGCCACTTCAATCAATTATTAACATTCAATTTATTTTCTAAGACATCCTGTTATATTTATACTAGTGTGTACCCGCGACTTCGTTCGCGTCGAATTAATCATTAGTAATGGTGATGATAAAGCAAAGCAAGAATTTCCATTAACATACAAACTGGAATTAGGTCCTTGAATAAAAACACCAAAACACTTTTACTTTCTACACTGGACGCGCGTTCTCTACCGTGTTAGCATCATCAGCAGATGATTATAAACTAAAGTAGATTGTAGATTGTACTTTAGTTTATAATCATCTGCTGATGATGCTAACATGGTTAGCGAAACGCGCGTCCAGTGTAAAAGTAAAAGTGTTTTGGTGTATTGTGGTGATTTAGTGTTTTATTTTGGTGTGTAACACCAAAGGTTCTAACCCTCAACTGTAATAAGGATTTTATATATTAGTATAGATTTGAGGGGCGTTTTCACCCTCTTGGAATTTGAGATTCGAGAAACCCCTCCTTATCGAACCTCTACACACCACAGTCAATCCGTTTGACAAAAATCAGCTTTAATCGTCAAGCAGTTTAAGCAGAATCCTGATTACTCAATGATCATATTTTATGAAACATTCTGTATAAATTTTTAAAAAATCTTAAAATATGTAAAAAAACAAAATAAAATATACGTGTTTAAGCGTTTTTGCGGAAACTTGACCGTTTTTTAAATAAAAAAATATTGTAATGTTTGAGGGGTGGTTTCACCCTCTTGGAACTGGAATTTCGAAAAATCCCTTCTTATCGAACCGCTACACCCTAGAATCAACCTGTATGCCAAAATTGAGCTTCTTACGTTGAGTGGTTTGAGCAGGATCGTGATTAATCAGTGATTCAGTCACTTAAGGATTTTATATATTAGTATAGATATACATATTAATTATTGTCCTCTGCAATATCCACTGTTTTACAAAAATACTGACCAGCGTGACCTACCATAGAACAAGATTTTTAAAAAATCGATGTATAATGAGCGTCCTTCTTGTTAATAAATTGCTCATATAAATAATCACACAGACAAGTTGTTCTAGATTTCTATACTCATATTTCCTATACTCGTAGCCATTCATATCTGATAATTATAGTTCATTTAACTTCTTTATCTGTCAATATTTCTATAAAAGTTTTGATCTTGATTTAAAAAAATAGATAAGCATTAATTAATGTTTAATTAATGTCGTTTGTTATTGATAAATAATTATACAGAGCGTGTATATTTATTTACACCCTGTATATTTGGCGATGGGAAAATCGCATGCTATAATTGTTAAAATTAATTTTATCAGTTTTGTTAAAAAATAAGTACAGTGCGTTTTTTTAGAGTTATTAATAATGGCACTAATATAATTAAAATTGATTTACGTAATTTATTGTATTAAAATTACTGTATTTTAATTTTAATACAAAAATAGATATTATTATTACATATATAGACTGTATGATCATAAGTTTCAGAAGAATCTACCAAGACACTAAAAAGATTTTTTTAATTTCTAGAAAAATGTCAAGAAAAATGTATAATTTTAATTTATTTTTGAAAATATGCTTACAGATGTATTTCCGGGATCGAAAAATACTGTACTGGAGTTAAAATACTTGCACCTATTTAACAGACCCCCTGTATAGTAAAAGAAAACATTTATTTCGATTTTAAAATGGTTTTTATTGGAAATGATCTCAAAAAAAAATATACACCTCATCAAACTTTTTTTAAACAGTACTTTGGCTGTATTTCAAATTTTACGACGCGAAAAAAAATTATTTTTGTTATGGACCTTCAAAATAAACTTCAAATTTATCGACTACCTATACCAGATGTTTCTTTTTACGTTTTCTACCGATGCATTATGTCAGAGATTGCATTTTTCAAGTTCAGCCAGATGCAAAACTGATCGGGTTTAAAAGTTCGGATTTTAATTATAGAAAATCGACATCTGCTTGAATCTATATATTGCTTTTTATCACAGTCCAGTAAGTTTGTACCAGAAATACTAAATGAAATAGATCACCAATTTTCATAAAAATACAACATTGTTCAAATTAAAGTGATCTCAAAGTAAATGCGAGTAACTTAAACAATGCTAAAATTTTAAATTTACATTAAATCATTACATATTATTGACTATAATGTCGTATATAAATGATGTATAAAAGATTAGACTTTCTAGTTTTTAGATGTTTTTAATATGACTTAATATGCAAGCATGTTAGTCTGTAGAACCACCCACTGAAGTTTGGTACAATGGTACACTATTTATTTTACTCTCTACCTAGGCATTCTATTACTACTAATGTTTATGGTTGACAGAGTTTATTTTTCTTTAACTCCTTTAAAAGTATTAATTTGTTCATGTAAATACGTCTTGTAAATAAGTCTGTTAACATGCAATGATGCTATCAGGTCTGTATATTGCAAAGAATATGTTTCAAGTCGTATAATCAGTGATTGTGTGACATGGTTGATTTTTATTGTCAAATTAGGCGTCATAAATATTTATTATCGTTGCATATAAGTATGGCAAGACATATGGTAAGGGTTATTTGCATATAAATATGTCGTACATCCTCGCCAACGTATTTATAAATATTTTTATAAACAGTTTGTTAATATAGATTATAGAGGAGCTACAAAACCAAACTTTTGTAATATTTTTCATTTGCCATTTTTGAAAGAAACTAAAAATATATGATAAGTTATTTAACTTTCAAATAACTATTTATCAATAATGCTTAATTTTGAGAACCACAGGTATTAACAGGGGATCAGCCAGCTTATTTGACACCCTGTGTTGCCACCTGAGGTTGCCACATATGGACGAGAATGAATATCTTTTTAAAAATACTTTTCAATATGGTGATAAAAAAATCTGTAATAATTGTAAAAACTTTTTGTCCCAATAAAAAAAATTCAAAAAAAACAAAAATTAAAATTCAAAGTTGAGTTTTTCCAAAAAAATCTAATTTAATTTTTTTCTGTAGAACATAGTAAAGATAAGCTGGAAAAATTGATAATTTTTTAATTAATAATTGGTTGCTGATGTAACACACGGTATAAAGGAAGCATTTAATCAGATAAAACTTTTTAAAAGCTGTATTTTTTGCTTTAATGCGCAAAAAAAATCTATTGTTTTCAAAAATATCGTGTCCAAACTTATTAAATCCCATATTTTGTGATTATAATATTTTTCTATTTGTGCATTTGCATGCATCTGCATATTTATTGCATCCTTTCCTTAATAACTTAATAATCCCTAATTATTTCTTATTAGGCAAACGTAACAAAATTCTATAATTTCGTAGAAAAAAATACATTGGTTTTTCTTTAATATTAGGAAATGCAATAGATGGATTATTATTAAAAAGAAAATGAACCATTTTGATTCATTTTTTTACGAAAGTATTATTATTGGCAAACCCTGAAGGTTAAATTTATTTTATTTTGAATTGTATTTATAGAAAAAAAAATGTTATATAAAAATTAAAAATCATTAAAAAGAGAAGTTGTTTTGAAAATTTCAGTATGATTAGAAATTTCAAGAAAATTTAAACGTGTGATGATATATTCATTTTTATTTAATTTTCTGTATGTGTAGCTTATTACTTTGATGATGTTTACTATAAACAAACAAATTAGTTTGATTGAAACTATTTCTTATATTCATAACAAGTGTATTAAACAAAACGATATTGATTTTTAATGCAAGTGCGAATAATAAACAAACAAGAGCCATTTTTATTTAACATTCTTCTTTTTTAATTTATATACGATACCTGTAGGAAATAAATAAATTGATAATAAATTATAAACAAGAAAGGAAAAGTTTATCATCGTGACTAGACTGCCATTTCCTCTGCTAATTGTTCATAATCAGGATGCGTATATTTATTTATGTTGTTTATATACAGCATGCGAATTTAAAAGATCTAACTTACTCTTTAAAAGTACGTTGACCATGTTAAACAGTTGCAAAATATATAACATTCAAAAAATATATAATTTTGTATATTTTTTATACATTTGAGATATTCTACCTACTACAACCAAACCAAACCAAACAACAAAATAGAATATACGTGTTTAAGAGTTTTTCCGAAAAACTCACCGGTTTCTAAATAAAAAATATTCTAATATTTGAGGGGTGGTTTCACCCCGTTAGAATTCGAGTTTCGAAAAATCCCTTCTTATCGAACCTCTACACCCTAAAGTCAATCCGTTTTCCAAAAATCAGCTTCTTACGTCAAGCGCTTTAAGCAGGATCGTGATTAATCAATGACCAGATTTTTCGAAAGACCCTGTATACATTTTTAAAAAGTCTTAAAATATGTAAAAAAAAGAAAATAAAATATACGTGTTTAAGCGTTTTCTTCGGAAACTTGACCGTTTTTAAAATAAAAAATATTGTAATATTTGAGGGGTGGTTTCACCCCCTTGGAACTGGAATTTCGAAAAATCCCTTCTTATCGAACCTCTACACCTTAAAATCACCCTGTATGCCAAAACTGAGCTTCTTAAGTTGAGTGGTTTGAGCAGGATCATAATTAGAGTAACTAGCAATTTATCCTGGGGTGGGCCTGGGGGGGAGCCTAGGGCTGAGCCCAGGGGGGGCCTAGGGCTTTTGTTTTTTTTTTAAATGAAAAATAATTTATAAAACACATTTTTTGAATTAAACGTTTACATGAATTTCTCTATCAATAAATTTCATAGACTTGGTTATCAAACCGTGTTCCCGTAGATTACTTAAATACCTACAAATTTAAAAAAATTAACACATTTTTTGAACACAACAAAATAATATTAACCAAACAAAACTAGAAAACGTCATTCTTACTGCATCACAAGCAAATAAAAATTAATACGTAGCCAAGAGTCATAATTCAGGATTTCTCTGAAGGGTGTCCAGCAGTACCTGGGGGGGCCCGGCACCCCCGGGTACCCCTGTAGTTACGCCAATGGTTGCTGTAAAGAGCTTTGGGATATCGCGTCTCCCTGTCGTACTCATTTGCCAGTTGGGAACTCTGGGGTTGTTTTATATATTATTACTCTTTCTTTGGCTTCTTTGTATATATTGGCGGGAGTTTCTATATAAGGCCTATCAATACCTTGTTTCCTCAGGGCTTCTTTTATTGCCTTAGGATATATTGAGTCGAAAGCCTTCTGAAACTCTATAAAGGCAATGGCTAGAGAAAGTTCGTATTCTTTTGTTCGGCTGATAATTCCTCTTAGTGTATGTAAGTAATTTTAATTATAATTAGCAGTATATTAACAATAAAGTCTTACCGTTGTCCTCGTTGTATCCCCACTCCAGTGGCATCCTGAAAAATACAATTAAAAATATCAAACGTCAATGACCTATCTGTATCTGTTTGGAAACTAGGCAGGTGTAAAAATACTGTTTATTTTTGTAACAGAGAATGTTTTTCACTGTACTCATGTTCCCAAGTAACATAAATCTTTGTTTATATTATTTTGTATTAAAATATCGAAGAAAAATTGAATTTCAAAAATAATAAATGGTATTTGACATATAAAAGCTGTTTTTGTGAATTTAAAATTTTCCAGTGTGAGACAGAGGACTTGAAATGTGTTGGAACACTTCCAAAGATTATAAGTATAAACAAATTAGACAGACGTTTTAATTCAATTAATTTTAGATAAACGACTTTGTATTTAATGCATCTGTATAGGTAGTGTATTGTGGTAAACCGAATTTCGAAGAAGATACTATTATACAGTACTGCCTGTTAAACATTTTTAAAATCCTTCAAATTTAGAATTTTAAGAAGGCTTTGAATAAACAGTAAATTTACCTGAGCTTATAAAATATGCAGTACTTTGGTTTGAAAATATGTATATACCCTGTATGTTGACAAAAATATTTTCAAAATGTGCGTTACCATTGCCCCTATATTATGTAAAAAAATGGCGCCGGGAGGCACGTATAGCCGCCAATACTAAGATATGTTAATAAAAAGTTGGTAGGCAGTTCTTTTAGTTTCAAAGTAAAGGAATTTTTTCAATTTTTTTATCTCAAAAACTGCGACTTTGACTGATTTTGATGTTATTACAAATTTTGTTGCAAATATTATTCCTAATCTTAAATTGAAAACCGCGTTTCGCTAGCTACTGTAATTTTGTTACGATTTTAAAATTTTTTAACCCCCTCCCATACCCCCTTACTAACAACCCCACCCCACCAAAAACTAATAGCCAGATTCTCGGTGCCACAGTATTTTTGTGCCAAATTTGGTTAAAATCGGTTTAGCGGTTTTTGAGTTATCGTGTTACAGATAGACGGACAGACAGACAGACAGACAGACATGACAGACACCATGAAAATATTGTATTTAGGTCATTTATGACCCAAATAACTCATTTTGAGTGAAATTAAAAAAACTTTTTTGCCGATCTTAATAGCCTACCATAGCGGTAGGTATGTATGGTCGACTAAAAATTGTAATAAAATTCACAAACCAAAAACCTAATATAGAGAGCTTTTCGGAAGCCTGATTCTCACCCTGTATATGAAAACATGGATATCATTATACTCCTTCCTCCTTCCTTAATCTTTTTTTTCAAAAACAGAAACATATCGTTCATCTGTGTTTTTTTTTAATTTCTTGTGATTATTACTACTGTATAATAAAAATACGAAAATTTTCAAAAAATACTATTAAAAGAAGCTGTATTAATCAAAATAGACTGAAAAATATATGTTTAATTTTTAAATATAAACATAGCCATATATCCCTAAACAACTTGACAATATTTTTATGAATTTGTAAATCAATCCATATTTACAGTAGCGGATTTTGTTCATAAAAGGACAAATTTGCTGACAACTAAATGTTGGGACAAGTATTTTTAAATAATTAATATCATCATAGGCGGCTTTGCTATAAACATCACAAATGTCGCAAACTGTTTACTTCAGCATTGACAGCTTGTAAGTGAATCGATACTTTGAGTAGTGAGATTTACTGTAAGTAATTTTAATTTTCTTAATTTTCAATTTTGCTAATTTAATTCAAAGTAATGGTCCGTGGAAAAACTACAAATCAAAAACTACGCGAAATTATCATTCGTCAATACAGTACGGGAAAAACAATTCGAAAAATTTCTGATGATTTAAGTTTTCCAAAAACCACGGTCTTTAATATAATAAAAAAAATAGGGCGAATCTGCCAATGTAGACGTTAGAGGTAAAAGTTCGGGAAGGCCAAAAACTGTATCTCAGAGATATTTACGAAATTTAGTAAAAATTTGCAAGTCTGCGAGAAGAAGTACTCTTCGCGAAGTAACAGTTAAATGGAATACTGTAACTGGTTTAAATATATCAAGAGAATGTTGCCGAAAATATATCCATAAATGCTGTCTGGGGTTTTACAAGGTAAACTTTATTTTGTGTGGATAATCAATTACCTGAAGATTATTGATACAAATTCTTATTTAGGCCAAAGAAAAACCGCTACTGACAGAAATTCAAAAGAAAAATCGCTACAATTGGGCAAAATCTAAATTATCGTGGACACAAAATGATTGGAATAAGGTTATATTTAGCGATGAGTCTAAATTTGATGTTTGCGTTGGAGATAATCGAAAAAGAACAATACGAAATAAAGCAGAAGCCTTTCATAAAGATTGCTTAAAGAGGATTGTTAAATTTCCTAAGGGGATTATGGTTTAGGGTGCATGTCAGCAAGAGGTTTGGGCAAATTGAATTTTATAGATGGCACTGTTAACGCCTAAAAATATCAACATATACTTGAGACCTCACTTTTGCCTAGTGCTCAAGAATTGTTTCCAAACGAAGACTATATTTTCCAACAAGATGGAACATCGTGCCATTCAGCAAAATCAACTAAAAATTGGTTCGGTAATAATAATATAAAAAGTTCTATCCCATGCAAGTAGTCCGGACCTCAATGTTATAGATATTGTGTGGCATAAAATGAAGCAATATTTAAGAAACCAACGAACAATTTTTGATTTGCGGACAAAACTGCAGGAAATTTGGGATAATTTTTCTCCTCAAATGTGCCAATCTTTGGTAAATACAATGCCATTAAGAGTTTAGGGAGTTGTTAAGGCGAAAGGTGATGTAACTCCGTATTAAACAAATTTCTTGTTGTGCTCTCCCAATATATAGTTGTCGAAAGCAAATTTGGCTTGATTTTGGCAAAATAAGCTATTATCAAAAAGTGATTTGTTTGCAAAGGATTTAAAAATATAATCAAATTGTCTAGATCATATTGTAATGTTTGAATTTAGAATAATAAACAAAATAAATTGAGTCGTTTTAACAAATTACTATATTTATTGCAAAAAAGACAATCCCCAACATATAGTTGTTAGGGCTCGTATAATAAAAATACGAAAAATTTCAAAAATACTATTAAAGAAGCCGTATTAATCAAAAATATTAGATAAAATAAACAAAATTTCTCTTTATATTGGACGGTGTTGATATTATTTAAGACCATTAAACAAAGTTGAGTGCCAAAAACATAAAATAAACAAAACTTTCATCGCCAATCGTTATAAAGTGTTTTAGGATAGATCTATAATAAGATTTCTATACACAGAAAAAAATAAGAGCCAGGTGAATAGTTTAATTTGGATTTTTTTATATTAATTGTGAGGGAGGTTACACTAATAAGCTGAAAATGATGATAAAGATAATGATGATGAGATGAATTTAATACATATTTTTGTGCATTGCTGTTAACATTAAACATACAGGGTGTTCTATTAAGTAGAAATAAATATAGTTTTCTGATACAAATTTTATCAAATAATCTCGAAACAAGAAAAACTTATACGAGAAAAACTATATAAGTAGGTTGTATACTACGTGCTTTTAGAGTATAGAGTTTCCTTGAAAAATTATAGTAAAGTAAAACAAGAAAAACTTACAACTGCAGTCCATTGGAAGTTATAACAAGTCTGTCCTTGTTCCTTGTAACTTTCAGCCTTAGTAATATATTATTTTGTTTGTTCATTTTTGCGCTACTTTTTTCTTGTTGTCAATTTGTTTAATAGTATGCACTGATCGACTGAGGTGTTTTCTTTGCGGTATAGCCTTTATGAAATATTGGGTCTCATAGATGTTAAATTATATAGATCGACAATTTTTAAAGTCAAGTGAGTAAGAAATTTATATTCTACTAGCGTGTACCCGCGACTTCGTTCGCGTCGAATTAGTTATTTGTAATGGTGATGATAAAGCAAAGCAAAAATATCCATTAACATGCAAACTGGATAAAATTTTCTCACATTTATATCAGCATGAGAAAAAACAATATGGCGATATTATTATATAACTTGGTTTGGTTTGGTTGGAATTTGACTCTCGAAAAATCCGTTTGCCAAAAATAAACTTTTTACGTCAAGCAGTTTAAGCAGAATCGTGGTTAATAAATTACCCAACTTTTTAGAACACCCTGTATGATTTTTTAAAATATTTCAAAATATGTAAAAAAACAAAATAAATTATGCTTGTCCAAGCGTTTTCCCGATAGACTAACCGTTTTTTAAATAACAAATATTGTAATATTTGAAGAGCGTTTTCACCCTCTTGGAATTTGAGATTCGAGAAACCCCTCCTTATCGAACCTCTACACCCCACAGTCAATCCGTTTACCAAAAATCAGCTTGAAACGTCAAGCAGTTTAAGCAGAATCGTGATTACTCAATGGTCATATTTTATGAAACACCTTGTATAATTTTTTAAAAAATCTTAAAATATGTAAAACAACAAAATAAAATATACGTGTTTAAGAGTTTTTCCGAAAAACTCACCGGTTTTTAAATAAAAAATATTTTAATATTTAAGGGATAGTTTCACCCCCTTAGAATTTGAGTTTCGAAAAATCCCTTCTTATCGAACCTCTACACCCTAAAGTCAATCTGTTTTCCAAAAATCAGCTTTTTACCTCAAGCGCTTTAAGTAGGATCGTGATTAATCAAAGACCAGATTTTTCAAAATACCCTCTATACATTTTTAAAAAATCTTAAAATATGTATAAAAACAAAATAAAATATACTTGACCGTTTTTTAAATAAAAAAAAATTGTAATATTTGAGGGGCGGTTTCACCCCCTTGGAACCGGAATTTCGAAAAACCCTTCTTATCGAACCTCTCTACACCCTAGAATCAACCTGTATGCCAAAATTGAGCTTCTTACGTTGAGTGGTGTGAGCAGGATCGTGATTAATCAGTATGTCAGTCACTTAAGGATTTTATATATTAGTATAGATAATAATAAGGGCAAGTAAATACCTGAAGAAATCATGATAGAGAGAATCATGGGGAGGGAAAAAAGAGAGTCAAAAACGCCTCACGTGATCAATAGACACCCCTTAAGTGATACATTGTATTTAGCGAGTTTGTCTATGGTTTTGAATATCTCTAAGCAGATACCAACATATTATTAAGCCTTTTTGTGTTAGAATTTTCGATAATAAAACAATAATCTGTCTAGGTACAGTATTAAAGATACGATTTCTGGTGGATTAATAGATAAAAAGGATTTTCCGCTATCATGGAAGAGATTTTGGGGTTTAAAATATCTGTATTATACAGGCGGCACGTGATTATAAAAAATGCTAATTCCTGTTAGCAAAAATGTTTAAAAAAACGATTTGATAAGTGGGTTTAGTAGATGTATATGTTAAGGCAAGTCTACACATAACGTTTTAGCTGTTGTTAAGCCTTACTTCGTTCAGTCAAAACATTTTAAGAAAAAGGTTAAGTTAAGAACAGGCGATTGGGAATATTGGGTCGCTCTACCATGTAATTCTGAGTACTACAATGTAATAAAGGAGTTATGAAGGAAATTCAGTGTTTTATTTAGAAAATACGTACTGCGTTCTGACATTAGAAGTGGGATCGACTTACTAAAAGAACTACAAAGTTTTATATAGTGTCAATATGCCATGTCGTGTGTGAATCTATACGTGCTGGAAAAGGATATAAAACCATAGAGCAGCAACAAGTCCTGCAGTGCTAGTGAACAAAAAGAATGATAAAGGAAAACTTAAGAAAAGGTAAACACTACAGAAAAATTTAAAAATTGGACTATTACGTAAAAATCCTTTGGAAAAATATCACACCTTCTACATAGAAAATGGTAAAAGGCATGGCTGTTACAACCTGCAAAACCCAAACATAATAAAGTCATATTTGTTAAAATAGACCTTTTGAGTGGGCATGTTGATGTAAAATCTAAAGCTAAAAGGATACATTTGAATAAGAGACATAGGTATCAATTAAGTTAGCA